AATAAAAATTCAAAAAACACAAAATATCTTGAAAATTCGGAGTTGCAGTATGAGCTGTTTACTGAATAGTAGCAACAGATGTACTGATGCTCATGAGTAGTCGTAGCAGTGTTTCGAAAGAGGTAGACAAATGTAGTGCTCGCAGTCGTGAGTCATCGAACTCGATTCATATTCCATACAAACAGTGTATACCAAATAAAAAAATATTTCGCGTCCAGTCAGGGCATATATGAAACTGGAAGTATTTCAAAGCGGACGTATATCGAAATACTACTGTACTTTCCTACACCTACGATCGGCGGTAAATGATAGCTGCAATTATGTCGCCATTTGAAGAGAATAATCACATCTGGATCATAATTTTGAATAAGCTAGATTTGGCTTTCACAACTAAACTAATAATTTAACAAGAGAAAGGGTTTCCAGCGTTCGTTCGTCATTCAGTATATATTTCTGCCAACATTTCTAGTTTAAAGTGAAACAATTACGAATCCTTTTCTTAGAAACTTTAGAAGCAACTGTAGAACTATTAATACCCTAATTTAAATATGACATTAGCGAAGAAGTTTGAAACAGAGAATTAAGATGTTATGTCTTAAATGCATGACACTTGAATAGTTACTAAAAATATTCTAAACACACTATGAGATAAACACTTCAAGCATCGGCAAATTTTAAGATCTAAGTAACAAATACAGGATAATCATCTAATACTTGCAAGTTATCATATTACTAATATGTTGTCCAATTTAAGACGTACATGTGATGAAATAACCTGTAAATTGCCATGATAGACTAAGCTGCAATGTAAGAAAGCAAAAAGTAAAGTAGTGATTTAAGAAGTCGATGAATTATTGAACAACAACGTGTATCTTTAATTTACTTTACTACTTGCAATAATACAATGTGGTATCTTTAATTTACTTTACTACTTGCAATAATACAATTTAAACAGTATAATAAAAGCATTGCGAATTCCCTACCTGGCGACTGCTCATTAATACAAGTTTGTTGATAAAATATCTGCTGTTTGAGTAGAAGTTTCATTATTAATGAGCTACTGCAAATGGAATCGCCATTATTTGACTTCAGCTTTCTAATTGTTGCGGATTAAAATAAGCGCACGAGTTTATGCAGTTTTTATTTCATGTGACAGCGTTACGAGTATTAAACACTGAATGCTACAAACATCAAATCAAACACGAAATCTAATCAATAAGGATTGTTATAACGTTACAAGCTCAAAGTGGAAAATTCTAAAGTGGCTGCAGTAAAAAAATATCAGTAAAGCGTTCAGTTGAGGAATAATTAATAAGAGAACCGCCCAGACGATACAGTGGTTAGAGAAGCTATGGGAAGGGACGAGAATATTCTATAACAATCGTACATGTTCACACCTACGATCGGCGGTATGGTTGGGTATTAAAGGCACTCTAAGAAGGACTCCAAAGGCACCTTTGCATCCAACGATATTATTTATTGTATGCTAGTGTTAGTCACTGTTCATTCCTTCCATAAGGTGAAACGAAATTCGACTAGATATTGTACATATTGTGGCAGATGAATATGCATATTGTGGCAGATGATATTGTGGCAGATTATAAATTGTACCTTAAGTAACCAGCAGACCGTAAGTAACCAGTAGAACAGACACGGAGTCTTACTGCTTCAAGATAACCCCAAACTTCTTACGACAGTGTCAATCATACAGCAAATTAACAATTTGGGATAAGAAATCGTGCCCTGTCTTCTATTTTCTACTGACATTTCTAGAACAAATTACAATTTTTCGGACATTTGAATTATTTTCTGCCCGTTCTCAATGATGGATCAATTTATCCACATTACGGAAATTCATCGCTTCTGGAGACACTGACTTTCACAGACGTGGTATAAATGATCTTGCCGCTGTTTGGCTACAATATATTGATACTGCTGGAAATTATTTTCACTCAATAAGTATTCTTATTTTTTATTCTCTTCTTTTTCAGTTGTCTTTAAAATCAAACATCTCATTTGCAACAACTTAATATATTTTAAATATAGTTATTTATATGTCATTAAGGTGCCTCAAAATAAAAGAAATAAATAAAATCGTTTCATATCATGATAAAGGAACCTAAGGCAAGTACGGAGATGAGCCTGTTACTTTCAGCATAACAACAGTGAAAAGAGTGAACTACCACTGTTACGCACATTACCAAAATGCCGAGTGAGCAATATGGAATTGTATTTAAAAATATGCCATTTTGAAATTAGATGACCCTTGTATAGTTGCTTCCTTCTTTATTATTTATTTATTTCGTTTCATTGTTGAAATCGGGTATTACTGACAAATAGCGCAAGATATTTTTACCTCTTGAGGAAAAGAAATCTACTGGTGTTCATCTCGAAAATACACATAGACCTTTTTGTATAAAAATATCGTCAATCTAAGACTGAATTTTATTATTCCAAAGGGGCTTTGTCCCTAAGGAACTATTGTTTTCGTTTTGCTATTTTGCGTCGAATTACTCAAAATATCCGTTTCACTTTTCAAACTGTTGCCACCAAATATTATCGCCCTGTATTACATTTGAAGAAATTAAATAATGAAGAATCTGCATAAATGTATGTATATGTTTCTCATATTGTGATAAAACAGTGTACCTACAGCCATACAATTTTGAATGACGTAATCCTATTGCGACTATGGACATCTCCAATCCTAATTTGAAATTTGGAATTTGTTTTATTATCGATTTCATATTTTGTAAAACTTTAACGAATTTGTGATTAACAATACCAAGGATTTCAAAGCGAGCAAGGCCGACGTTGTACATAAAAAAAATTTTTATCTTTCAGCGCGTGAGACTGTGTATCGGAAATTCTAAAGATATGCTAAATTTTAAATTATTTTTCGATATTCCATTACTAAATTGTATGGTTTAAATGCGAAGAACATTATATTTAAATAAAACACACAAGGATAACACACAAAATGTTAAAAAAACACTCCTTTGGACATAATTTAAAATCTGAAATTTTTCAGATTTTCTTTTCTTTTAATTGCTATTATTATTTTTTTATTTAATTTTGAATTTCCTAATGGCGTTTTCTTTTACTGCGCAGTTTAATTCCGATTTATCGAGCTTAAATTTAATGATTTTTTTAATTTAGTAATTATTTTTCGTATTCTCAACAGGTTTTAAACAAAGAAATCTCGACTAAAGAATGGTTTGCTCGAATTTAGCAAAACATCATTAAGTTCTGAAGTTTTTAGATAATTTTTCTGAACGACTCTATTTTTCTATTTATATTGAATAAACCACATTTTCACTCAGTTACAAGCAAGCATTCAGTTAATTCAAAATTTCCCATTTTAATAATGAAAAAAAGAGAGAGGGGAGTCCTGAGTTATGAATTTTCTTAATTGCAAATAATCCTTTCTAGACATTCTGCAAATAGTTATTTTGTGATATGCTATGTGAAATATTTCGTTTGAATCTCCTTTCACAAATCTTTGTATTCATTGTAAAGAGCAAAACCTTTCGTTTTAAATTTCTAATTATTGATTCTTTAAAAACTCCACCGAAGTTTAAATCTTTAGATAAGTTATAAATTTTCATGTTCTCTCAAATTACTTTTTAATTTAAATGCATGCAAGTAGTGTTCCTTGGCTTTATCAATGGAAACAGAATTCAGTTTCCTAGGATATTTTTGCTGCATTAGAAAATCTGTAATATATGTTTTCTGATGTAGTTAAAATCACATATACACTTCCCCAATTCTATGAATATATTTTTTTACAAAATCTATTCTTATTAGTTACAACTAATATTAATAATTCATAGCTATAAATGAAATATTAGGCATCAAATAAAGTGTGCAATACTAGTAAACTATCAAATTGCTTCATTACTCTGGGGATTTATTAATAATGGACTTTATATATTATTTAAATAATAATCTTCGACTTTTTTCTTTTTTTTAAATCTGTCATAAGTAAAAAAATGCTTAAAGTGCATTCCTTTCCCTTGAAGAAATGGTGTTGCCGTTGTGTAACTTGAATTCGAGTTAGTTTCTTATAAAACATTCTTCACCAAGTATATCTTTCTTATAAACATTCAAGTATATCTTTCTTTAGACATGCTTCTAGAGTCTAACAGAACTCTTCGTACCCGGAAAACACGAAAAATCAGCAATGCCTTCGCCTGGATTTAAACTTCGGATCTCCCGATTGCTAGGCAGATGTGCTTCCAATTAGACTGCTAACACACGCGGTAAGGTAGAAGAAAATTTTTTATATTCTTCTCCACTTGAAGAGAGACTGAGAGGAGGGGATATAGTCACTAAATTCAAGTGGTAACGAATTATCGCCTGCCACATTTTAATTAGACCTCAACTCGGTCAGAATGAAGCTTTAATTAAAATGTAGTGGACAAAATACAGAATCCTTAAGCATTTATCGGAGCATGAAAAAGGAGAACTCAGCAATGCTCTCTCCGGAATTTGAACTCGGAAACTTCCATTGCTAGCCGGATGGGTTTCCGGTTACACTGTAAGGTATTTTCTCCCTCCTTCCATCATGCCTTTGTGGTGTAATGGTTGCAGACTCGGCGCGTATTCGAGAGGTCCAGGTTCGAGTCCGGGTGAGGACACTGCACATTTTTCACTTCCCCAGCATCAAAAATGCCATTCTGCACCTATTGACTCTACAGTGGTGCTCGAATTAAAAGATGGTGGACTATAATTCTTCACTACCAGGATTTGGAGACTAGGTCCCGTAATCCTCAGTCACCCTTTTTAAAAGGAGGAGTATAAAAGGTATTTTCTCCCTCCTCTCCAGCATGCCTTCGTAGTGTAGCGATAGCACATTCGGTGCGTACTGGAGAGTTCCATTTTGGAGAACCGGATAGAGAACTGCACATGTGTCACATCTCCTCCTTCAAAATAACCTAATGACTATGTATATTAAAATGGCACGCGGTAAGAAACGAAAAAGTTCCTTTCAAGCTTTGCCTTAATTAGTTAATTTAATGCAAATTCAGCTACAAAATTTATCTTTCGGCATTCGATATAAATTTTCAATTTCTTTAATTATAGGCTTCCGAGATGCATTTTTGCTTAACTGTTTAATTGAAGAAAGAGAAAAAATTGCATTCACGCGATTTCAATCAAATGCGTTAAGAACAATTTTTTGCTTTAATATATATGTGACTAAAACATAATCTTAAGGTTGATAATAATAGTGGGCTTTAAATTGTCTTAAAGAATTTTCAGCGAATTCGATTTAATCGCTCCTGTATACTTGTATATCATTTCTGTTCAATAACATTTCATTTATTCATAACAGAGACAGACTTTATTTTTAAAATCACGACTTTATTTTTAGAATATTTTTTCTTTCTAACTGTAGTAAAATTACTTCAGTTCATTTAAGCATCTATTTGATTTAGAAATTAGACCTCATCATAACTTAAATTTGTGGAGTTAATAACAAGTGAAGAATTAAATCTTATGATTTAAAATTCTATCACTGTTGATAAGAATAACAGATTAGCTAAGAAAATTGAATGATTTATGAAAAACCATTAATATTCGATATACTGCAACAGAAATTCTGAAAAATGCCTACATTTAGAATGCTATTTTTCGATCTATCTAGCGATGTAAAGATAAAAACCTAAGAAGGTTAGTTTGACCGTTTACAAAGAATGTAATAAACTTCAGCATTAAATAAAAAGAGAGATACTTAGAATAGAATTTTGAAAATATTCCTGTGGAACATTGTATTTACATCGCAAGTACAGTGTAAACAATTAAAAGAGAATCAGGTCAGTAAAAGGTGATTAAAAATTAAATTCAAAACTTGAAGCAAAAATACTGATTAACTAACAACAAAGAAACCAACAAGCAAACAAACAGAGTAAATCGTCTAAGAGAAATAATGAACTGAAAAAAAATGCACTTTTTGTTATGCGGAATTTCTTTTCCTTGAATATTTGGCTAACAGTGTAAGTTCTGCTCACTTCTTTTGCGCAAGTACCAAATAATATTTTTTAAGACATAGATAAAAAATTTTTACCTGGAATTTTTCAGGATCTGCTTTTACCTCCGAAGTGCCGCCACTGCTTAGCTGTCTCCTAGGTCTTAGAAAATAGCCCCTGTAAAAGGATGGTGAAGCGTCGAGGTCTAAATCACTAAGCCCCAATCCGAAATGTTGGTCTCGCAGACGAGATGGGATTTCAAAATCATCCCACCAGTTTCTGCTCACGATGGATGATCGAGTATAAGACATTTTCCTTTCAAAAGACTGTTTTGCAAAGAGGATGAAGACGTGGGTACGCTTTCTTATATAGACATGTATACCTGTTTCAAATAACAAGCTGAGGGTAAGTCGGCCATGTTTTGCCATAGGTGACAAACAAGATCCTTTCATTATATGCTTTAAAAATGCATGTTCTTCTCTTTTCTACAAGTTATTATTAAGTTGTTTTATTAACTTGATTTCTCTGCTTGTTGGTTACTTTGTCTGTTTAACTTGAGTCATGCAATTAGCTTTTGACTTCCTTCTACTGATAAGCCTAAATGCTTATAAATAAAAATGTATTAAATAAAGAATAAATAAGAATTAAGTAAATAAATTCCGTATTCTTTTAAATAACCGTACCAATTCACTATAAGAAGAATGATATGTTAAAAGGAGGATGGCTATTTTTTTTTCTTTAAAGTATCTCAGTCTGGAACAGGGTCAGGTAATAAAAGGCGTAACTTTGGACTCAATACTTTAAACATAATAAAAACTATTATCGCAAATTTCCTGCTCATATATTAACACAGATTTTATAACTTTTATAGATAAAGAACATTTAAATGAATCATCGAAAAAATTAAATAAGAAAAATCTAAAAATCACAGAATTCGTTTTATTATTTATCTCAACATTTTTAATCAAAATACTTTCAGAACAAATAAATGGTTAAAGTCTGTCATAATGGCATAATTTTTCACTATAAACTTATACAAAAGAAAATTTGAGATTGAATATAAAAATATGTTCCTTGACTATTAAGGATACTCTGAAGAGAATTTTTGAAACTGCAGCGTCCCACATGCAAGCGCAACAAAAGTAAATTCACAGCTTTTAACAAACACTACTATTAATTTTACTTCAAAAATCGAATTATTTTCCCTAAACTTTGTAGAGTTATTAGGGTTTTTTTTTTTTTTTTTTTTTTTTTTTTTTTTTTTTAAATGCTGGAGACTCGAAAAGTGTGCAGTGCCCTCACTGAGGCTGAAACTTCGGGCCTCCCGAACACATATTCACCATGCTTCCAGTTACACCACGAAGGCATGCAAAAAGGAGAGAGAAAACACTACCTTATAAACTATTCCCACAGAAAAAGTTCTGCCTGGAAAAAAAACATAGCTGTTACTGAAAATCTGACATTCTTTCCATCCCAGCATTTGACCAGGAAGTTAAAAAAAAAAAAAAAATGCAATAGGATAAAAAAAATAATAATTACCTTATTTGACGGCATATAAGACGCACTGGCATACAAGACGCTCCCTTATTTAGACGGCCACACACAAGGAAAAAAAGTTTGAATAGCGTGGTTTCTTTTAGTTCTCACGTTTCGTAAAAGCCAAATAAACAATTATTGAATGCAATTACTTTCACATATAAGACTGTGTCCTTCACGCAGGTAACTTTTTTGAGACCAAATTTAGGAAAAAAAGTGCGTCTTATATGCCGTCAAATACGGTATGCATCAAATATATATATTAGTAATGAAATGCAGTTATGACCGAAAAGACTGGCACATGTAACTAGCAGTTCTGCTGAGTGATATATGAAATAACATAAAAAGTATGAGTACTTAAAATTAAGAATGCTAAATACAAACTTTCATAGCATTGGTGAAAATTCACAATCTTTCTACAATAGTTCGAATGATATTTTCTTAGACTAATTCTGAAAGTTTTGCAGTAATTCGTAGGCTTGAAGTAAGATTCAGCGTATTTATTGCTTTATATGTTGTTTGACTTAAGTATATTCTCTTCGTAACCTAGCAAAAAATATAATTATGTTTCTAATAAATGTCTTTCAAAAGTGAAGATTATTCATTTTAACTACTGGCGTGGTCAAAAATGGAGGCATTTCATTAGGCTCAGTGTTGTTTTCTGACGCAGAAGGATAAGAAAGGGCAATAACACATTTCACTCATGATGGTCGCGTGGGCGCCAAACATCATGCCGCTGGCATTTGGGCCCAAAGATGGCCATAAACTGAAGATATTCGTGGGAGAAGTAATCCCTCAACCTTGACTTAGTTACGTTTTTATTTTCTTGGAGAGTCAGACGCTACGGGTATGGGCGGGTATCCGTAGCTGTAAGCGCAGTCGACCACGCTGAGAAGTTTTTACTTGAAATATTTCTTAATATTACCAACTACACCTCTGGATTCAAATACGTAGGCATGAGTCATAAGATGATAGGCGAAAGTATATTTTCGAAAGAAGTGTGATTTGGACATCTGCGATTGGATTTTAAGCTATGATTCAGGTTTACGAAATGACTCGAAAAAGAGAAAAAACTTTCATCATAAAATAAACACACACAACAACAAAAAAACAAAACACAAAAAAAAAAAAAAAACCAAAAAAAAATCTACGATGAAAACCGCTTTTAATTTTAAGGCAGTTTTTCAGTTTCACTGATCAAAGCAGAATTAGATGCTCTGGACAAGGAAGATAACAAGATATCTCTGTGCAATTTCGGTACTTAATAATCTATCTAAACACTATGATCTTAAAAATGTATGTTCTGTGCGTTATATGTGCAGAGACTAATAAACTGTTATTTCTAAAACAATTATTTTTTTTTAAAAAAGTTACTTATTCCAGATTAGGTTACTTGATTACAGAAAAGCGTTAGAGGAATATCTTCGAAGCATAAGGAATGCCTTCATGGAGGACTGCCTAATTGAAACTTGCTTACATTCACAATTTTGCACAGAAAGTACCCATGCAGCCAGTCCATTCGTTTTCGTTCAAACTATATCATTCTTTTCACTACACGCTCACTGGTCGATCTTGATAGATTTCAAAAAACGCCTTTGATCATGGTCGATCATGATAGATTTCATAAAACACACAAAATTACAGTTGGTATGCAAATCACAAATGAATCAATGCAATAAATGAACAGCAGAGACTGTTTATACCTTTTAGAACAATTTTAGTGCAGGTGGATTAAATGTTCCAAAAGAATTATTTGGTAGTAACTTCGTGTTGAATCTAAATTATTGTATAACATAATAAAATATAGTCTGCTTTAAAAATAGCGCAGTAAATAATTTCGGAATCGAAGGTTACGCTTTCGATTGCTCGGTGTTATTTGGCCTGGCTTATTTGTTTGTTTGGATCAATTAAAGTATTGATATATTTCTGTACATACGCTTTGAAGATACTGCAGTTTTAATATATCAATTAGAGATTCGTTAGTATTAACTGAACTTAAAAATGTTGATTTAAATTTCAGCCAGGAATCAAAATGGCTTGAAAACGTTAGAAGATCATACTTTGGAAGCTTTATATTCACATAGGATGTGGCAGATTTTAATGCGTTATCATCACTGAGCTGTGACGTTTTTATTGATAATAAAATTTAGATATGTTTCTACTTTCACTAATGATTCATCTGCCAAACCCTGAGATTCAGATAAATTTTTAAACTCAGATTCTTCACCAAAATCTTCAAGAATAGAACATACATAATAATATTCTTCAAGCTTGAGACTATATCTTTGCAGATTTGTTTTTAATGCAGCAATTTTCTCTAAATTTTCTGAAGTTAAAACTGCATCAAAAGTTCCAGCAAATCTTCCAGTTTGCATTATTTGAGTTCGATACATTAACAGAATTGATGATGATTTCTTTTTTGACATCTTGATTTTGCTCTAAAGGATAAAATTAGTTACATACAGATGCCATGCAAACTTCAAATGTATACTTAAAAATGTACCAGAACCTGAGAATGAATTTTAGATGAAAACAATTTAAATACAGCTAAAACTTCCTTAAACAGGTTTTTTATAACATAAACGTACATATTTCGATTTCTTTACTAGGCGATATATAATAATAAAGTCTAATAGAGTATTGTCTACCGTCTGCCGAGCGGGTACAGTCGCTGAACACTGGTAACTAGGCCTGAGATCAAATCCCGACGAACGGGTTCGCTGCAAGATCGGTTTTCGTGGTTTTTCCCATGTGTAACGTGATACGAGCTATTTTCCCTTCAAACGTCCTCCACGAAAGCTTTCTCCGATGGGCAGATAGCCCTCGAGTTGCTTTGCCTAATAAATTAACCTAACCTAACAGAATATTAGGCTTGGACTTTTGGTTATCAATTAGTTCTCACTGGTAGCTCCGTGTATGGTGGGAAGTTCATTAATTAATAATCGTTAAAAGGCTTACCTTGAAATAGAGACTACTTGAATTATAGGTATTTAGCTACCTGAAAATATTTTGACACAAATAAATAAGGGCACAAAATAAAGAGGATTTAATCTTTTATATGCACTAGAAGATTTTTTTGCATGTTGACATTTTCATGAAATACTGAATTCTTGTATTGCTCGTTTTTTTTTTTTTTTTTACATCTTTTGCCAAAAAACAAAAACAAAATTAAAAATACGCACTCAGAAAAACATCTGGCGCGAGAACAGCTTCACCTGTAGAAAAGGGCAATTAACATTCATTCAAGAATTGTACTCGGATATTAACAGAATTTCAAGGAATAATAAAAGAAATAGCCCATGAAATAGTAATTGAGTTTGTTTAAATTTCTCTTTGATAATTTTGTTTCTAAATACGTCTGTTACGAAATGTACAGGCGCGGTGAGATAACTTCCTCGCAAAGAAGGTTTAGTGTTGCCATTATGGCAATTTTTACGTCCATTCCCTGTTTCTAACAACAAGTATTTTGTCTTATTGTTTCTTTGTGTACTTTACTTTATAAGGTATTTCTATACCGTCTTCTTAGCATGCCTTCGTCGTCTAGTGGTCAGCACGCTCGACGCGTATTCGAGAGATCCGTGGTTCTAGAACCGGCCGTATCTATAGATTATAAGTTACTTATTTACAAGTCCATTATCAGACCATTACTTTGTTATGCCAGTCCAGTTTGGGCCCACACTCGTAAGACGAACAGACAGAAACTCTAGGTTTGTCAAAATAGGGTGCTTAGACAGATTATCAATGCCGAACGGTTATACGTAATAACGGAATTCACGAAGAACTTGATATGGAATTACTCAAAACCC